TCCGCGACCTGTAGAGATGGGAAGGGGACCGCCGCCCGGCGATCCCATATATGGGAGGCGAGAAGACGCGCGACCGCCTGGTCCCCCTGAATACAACCCCGAGAGACCGCCTCGAACCGTACCCTATGAAGAACAGCGCCGCTTCATGTCGGAACGGGAGCTGAGGGAGCAGATGAACCGGGAACAGATGAATCGGGAGGTCGAGTTTTTGGAAAGAGAAAGAAGAGAGAGGATGCAATATGAAGAGCAGCGTCCCTTTATGGCAGAAAGAGAACGTGTCGAGAGGGAAAGGGAAAGCCAGCGTGAGATGGAAAGGGAGAGGGAGAGAGAGAGGGAACGGGACAGAGAAAGAGAAATGGAAATGCGTGAGAGGGCTAGGAGAGAAAGGACCACGTCGGATCCGAGTCGACCGCACAACCAACATCCCGCAGAACTTGGTCCTCAGATGCTTTCGCGACAGCCGCCTTATGGAAGACTAGATCCTCGCGATCCTCGCGATCCTCGTGATCCCCGAGATCCAGCAGTCTGGCAACGACCTGGATATGATCAGCCACCACCGCGGGATGCCTATGGCCAGGCTTACCCAGGCCCGCGGCCGGGTGAGTTTCCTTCGACTACGGCCGCGCCATACGGGACACACCCTGCTTATGCGCAGCCTCCTCCTCATGAGCGCTTTCCGGCAACTGCCCCCCCCCCTCATGTGATCCCGGTGAGCCAGACAGGCCCGCAACCTGCGCATCCATTTGAGTCTCCTGACAGACACCGGTTTGTTCAGGCACACCCCCAACAACAGCCCCCACCACCATCGTCGCATCGAGGTCGTCCTGCTGAGGAAGGCCCGCCTCCTCCTTCGGTTGCGTATAATGGTGGCCCGGGCTCGGCCGCGTTCGAAGCAGGTCGATCGCGCGTTATGGACGAAGGTCCCGCTCCGACCGGGCATCAGAGAGGTTTCCTCGGTATTCAAGAGATAAATCGTAAAGGACGAGTATCGCCGCTGCCACAGGCGGTTCAGGGCGCGCAACCCCAGTTACAGGGTCCTGCCGGTGAGCCTGGGATCAAGAGTGAATTCGGCCGCATGTTCTCCGGCATAGGAAGCGGTGTTCGCGGTATCGGTGTCTCTAGCCCAGTGCCACCTGTGATGCAGGCCCAGTTCTCCAACGCGGGTCCTACGCGGCGCGACGATGAACACCTCGGTCACGAGGTGCTTGTGGATGCTCCGGCGAAGACGGCTACCAGAGGAAAACGGAGGAAGGCCAAGGACGATGACGGCAAAGGTGATGATGATAGTACCGGCAGGGTTACGCCGGTCGGGCGGGCTAAGCGTCCCAAGACCCACGCTCATCACCACCATCACCAGTAAGTAATAGCTCTTGTATTCCGCTCGCTTCGGCCCTGTATTCATTGTAATATTTTTTTTAGTCATCATCATCATCACCATCATGGCCCGGAGAGAACTGCTTCGCCCCTTCAAACAGCCAATGGGCAACTCAAAAACCTCAAAACTAACACACCGATACCATCTCCCACCAACAAAGATTTCTCGAATCTTACTCATCATCACCAACCTCCCAGATCAGCCGCGGCTCCGTCTTCGAAGTCGGCGGCCCCGGGCTCTACCATTATACCCAAACCGAAACACAAGATCTCGTCCCAAGCGGTTCTCGACAGCGTCGCGGATCGGCCGCGGAAACACCTTGGTGACGTCGTCTACCATGCCGTTTTGAAGCCTAGCAAGTTAGAGTCGTCCCATTCGAAGTTCGGCTATTCGTCGAATCCGCGCCCGCTCCCGATGGAGGTGATCAAAGGTAACGAGAACTCGACTCTGACGGTGAAGATTCCCCGCATTCACCTGAGCTCGCCCGCTCGCGAGGAGATTACATCTCGTCGAGCCGTGTGGGGTACGGATGTATACACGGATGATTCTGATGTCGTCGCCGCATGTATCCATGCCGGTTGGATTCGGGGTGAATGGGGCGATGACGTGGACGTTGACTTGCTGGACCTGTATAAACCCGCAACCACGAAGAAGCAGCGCGCGGCAGCCGCTGAGCAACAACTCGAAGTCCTCACCTCACCACCGGCATCTGGTCCCGTTCAAATACCCGCAGGTCGCGATTTGCACGTGACGCTCTTGGTGCTACCCGCCCTCGATAAATACAGTAGCTCAACGCGTTTCGGCATCCAGAGCCGCGAATTCGGGGGCACGTATAACGGGCGCAAGTCGATCCATGATGGCATTAGCTTCATGATCTTAAATGTACGATGGGTGGATGGCGCTGCACCGCAGAGTAGGCTTCGGGGTAAGGCACGCAGGGAGCGAATTAGAAAAGCGATGAGTGAAGTCGACCGGAGCCAGGTTGTGGATATAGGCGAGAAAGAGCTCTCGAGTAAGCTGGCAACGGCACGGGATACCGGTACCAACAAGGAGAAGAGTAGTGGGAAGTCAAGCGATAACAATGTTGGCGAGGGCAATAAGGAGAACCGCCCCTCCATGGTGGCTCTGGATGATACTATTCCCGCACAGAAACAGGAAAGACGTAACATAGACACGAAAATGGACCTAGATGAAGATACCAAGGACAAGAGCGACTCGGCGGATAGTCAAAGCACGAAGACAGCAGATACAGCGACCACCACCGCTATCCCTGCTGCCGGAAAAGAGCCGGGGAATCATGGAACGAATGAATCCACAGATGTATCTACGTAGACACTGGGCTCGATGTTTAGCGGGTCCTGTATGAGGAGGGATTCGATCCGGGGTAACAGAGCTGGATGTATAGTAGATGGCTCCGACAAGCATTGCTTTTATTTTCTCTTTTCTTCTTTATACTGTCTGCACCTCCTGCGCCATTGGCCTTCAAAGATACCTGATACCTACACATCTGCGCACCTATACACATACCCACCTATCCGATTCATATTTGCTCTCCTTTTTCAAGAGCCTATATATATATAACATAGCGTGGAGTTCTGAGCATGACTATACGTGATGATGTATATATTTCTTCGATGTTGTTATCTGTCCGAAAAGCCTGCAGTCCTGGCATTTTATATATTTCACGTGACGGGATTGGATATACGATCCCTAATATGGCATACTCATTACCTAGGTACCTATACATAACTGAATACATTCAATGTTCAATGTTATCCCTAGCTACTAGGTACGTACCTAGTACATTTCCAAGTTCTAAATCATAATGTTCTTGCTTCGATCAATTGGTGCGTGGTGCTGGGCACCGCTGGGTCAAGCCAATTTGACTGGCTCTTGCATGGTATACCTAGTAGCCACTTTCACTATCGTTATGCTTTATTACTTGGTTATTAATAGAGTGTTGGCGACTTTAGTAATAGGTATGTATATGTTTCAAATTCTACCCAATTATGAACACTGGGGAAATATTATGTGCGTGGAGCTTATGTTTTACCACATTTTATGATCAGGGAATAATTTATAATATTGCGAACCCCGGAGATTTCTTGGACATCTTCTGTTGTGATGGGTTGACCAGGCTAAATTAAGTCCCACGGATCTCGGTCTGTTCTCTCCTTCCCCTCTTGATTTCATGTTGACCAGTCCTACATCGCCTCCGCGGAACTAGACATATATTATTCTAATGTCTAGACATCTTCTCTTCCACGTCAAATAGCATGACTACTAGTCCGTAGCTCACTAATGCTGAGTAGGACATGGATATAAGTGAACTGGCGATTTCGTATATCGAGGCTGCCTCTCGTCTTCGTTTCCTCAGAAATCGGTAACGCGGCCATTGAAGCTGTAGTCGCCACCAGGTCCCCAGCGAAGGGGCTCGTTCTTGGGTCCGCCGACTTCGCCGGTCTTCGGGTTCACCTCTCCCTCGAACTCAGGCGGGGCGCCTTTGCGAAGTGGTATAGATCCGAATTCGTCTTCGAGTGCGGGCGTCTCGACCTCGTCACCCTTTGCCGATGGCGAATTGGCGGTAGCTGTAGCCGGAGTGCTGAAGTCCGGAGTCGAGGTCGGGTTGAAACCTTCTTGGGTGTTGGCTGTGCGCTGCAGGCGTTCGAACTCGGCTTGCTGATCAGGTGGAAGACGAAGAGGGGAGGGCGCTGATTGGAAGGGGTTGAAGTCGGAGTTGGAGTTGCTAGGGTTGTTGGAGGCGTGGCGGATGGGCTGTCGGTTTTGTAGGCGTGAGAGTATCGAGGATTGTCTCGCAAGTCGATTGAGGTGGGTGAGGCGCGATGCCATTGCGCTGATTCTCTTTTTTTCTTTCCTTTTGCGTTGAAGCTAATTTATAGGTACCTGGTAGGTCTTAAACATATGACTTTGTCAAAAAAAGATCATTACCTAGACCAGTGTCGAGAAATTAGATATTGAGTATTTGAACTAATCAAGATTCCAGAATCGCGCATGAATTTCGGAAAACGTGGCGGCGGATTTCTATATAGTAAATGACGAAATCAAAGACAGAGTTTCGGATAATGCCGTCTAAGTTGATTAAGATTTGCGCTACCGGACGGGAGGGTTTTTTTTTACTTCTTCAATGCTACATACATACCTAGCTAGGTACATACATCTACCTGGATGTACAGTATCTAGATACCTAGTTGCATAGGTACTTTTTGGGTTTCCCCATTCTCTTAAGAGAAAGCATCTAATTGGTCCATCTTTCTGCGGAAGGTAAACTGCAGATGTACCCGATCAGAATTTTCATTCTTCCGATGCAACCTGAGCACGAGGTACAGTATACACGGTGTTTAAAATTGCGGGTTATTCAATAGGACGAATGATATGTATTTTATGGTTTAAGACTTCTGTACACATAAAAATAGTAGCGTACTTGATATAGGTATGTAGGTATAGTAGCTACTACATCCTTGATATACATATGTATGTATGTATGTATGTATGTATGTATGTATGTATGTATGTACGTATGTACGTATGTACGTATGGGATAGAAGCTGTTGGCAAATCTTCCTATAAAAAGAATATCGATATACGGGGAATATCAAAACGTAAACGAGCTCAGCAGGGATCGAACCTGCAATCTTCAGAGAACTGGTATACCATAGATGGGACCGAAATCTGACGCCTTACCATTAGGCCATGAACCCTCACTAGCTAAGACACTGTTGGGATACTGTGAGCCGCAGAGAAATCTTATATAGCTGCAGCCAGTAGACATGATCTAGAACGTTTCAGTGGATACTGTGGATATTCTGAGAGAGAAAAAAAAAACTTCAAAGCATCTCAACCGATCTCAATATATACTGCCATAACTCTACAGTCCTTCACGTACGACCATAGGACCTAGAGAATTCGGGATCCCGTCCGCTCTCCCTTTAGACAAGCTGGGTACCGCCGGATTAGTAGTTGGGTCGGTGACGACCAGCGAATCCCCGGTGTTGTACGTTTCCGTATTTTTATCCTTTTGATTCTTGGAATGGAGTGCTTGTCCTGAATTTTTTTTTTCTCTTTTGTTTCATCTATTTTTCGGCGTATTAAGGCTAAATGAGCATCTAAGTTCAAGATTAAGAAAGGTTACATGCATACCTAAATATGTAGGTACAGTAGTAATTACAAAAGTCGGATAACTACAATATCGATGATGGTGGCCAATGAAATTGTGTGCATTTTGACGTTACCCCTTGCGTCCATGTTTTTAGATTTTTACTACTAGGGTGGGCTAGGAGGGATCGGATTGCGGAAGTGCAAAGTGGGATGGCGGGGTTGGAAAGAACGACTCACTTCCGGTTATCGCTTTGGGTGCAATGATTTTTTTAAGCCCGGGAAAAAAGGTACCAAAATACTTTTGTACATTAAACCCATTTAACATCGCGTTGACTCAGACCAACACACTTCCTCTATAAAAGAGTTATCTCAACCTCCGAAGCTATCTCTGCTTCTTTCCTTCCCCCATTGCAACTAATTGATTGGCCTTGTTTGAACACCATGGAGGCTCTCAAACAGACGTTCAAGCGCTGCAGGGCAGAGAACCGGGTATGTTTAAATCTCTCCTACGTCGAATTGCTTATGCTCTCGCTCGATATATATACGTGCCATATATGCGCTATACATGTGCTATACATGTGCCATATATGCTAGCAGTATAATTATCATAGTTACATGGCTATAACCACACATCGTTGTCATTAACTAACTTAAGATATTATCATATAGGCTGCTTTGGTTACCTATGTCACTTCCGGTTACCCTAGACCCGAGGATACGCCCAATATCTTGTTGGGGATGCAAAAGGGTGGTGCCGGTACGTTGTGGCGAATAGCATAAGCCCAAACTGATGGTGACGATAAGTCAGAAGTAATTGACTCCCTGGCTAACAAACTTCAGATATCCTTGAACTTGGCGTACCCTTCACAGACCCCATCGCAGACGGCCCAACTATCCAGACATCGAATACCGTTGCTCTCGCCAATGGCGTCACCATCAAGTCCACCTTAAATATGGTCTTGGAGGCCCGATCAAAAGGATTGACGGCCCCGGTTCTATTGATGGGTTACTACAACCCTTTACTTAGCTATGGCGAGGATGCCCTCTTACGAGACTGCAAGGAGGCAAGCATAAATGGCTTCATCGTTTGCGACCTGCCGCCGGAAGAGGCTGTCTCTTTCCGGAAACTATGCAGTAAGGGCGGATTATCGTACGTCCCTCTGATCGCGCCTGCGACGTCCGATACCCGTATGAGGATCCTATGCGCTCTCGCCGATTCTTTTATCTACGTTGTCTCACGCATGGGTGTGACTGGCGCTCTGGGTACTCTCAATGCTAACCTGCCGAACCTTCTCGAGCGGGTCAAGAAGTACAGCGGCGACAAGCCAGCTGCTGTCGGGTTCGGTGTATCGACGCGCGAACATTTCCAATCTGTGGCCTCCATCGCCGACGGTGTAGTTATAGGTTCGGAGATTGTCACCACCCTCCAGAAGGCCGAACCTGGTAATGGAGCTAAGGCTGTCGAGGAGTACTGCGCTTATGTGAGCGGCCGGACTGCGCAGGAGACGACGCGGGAAGTAGGCGTCGTCGAGGCTATTAGTGCCGCCAAGGAGCCTAGTGGCGAGGATGTGACGGTCAACGGAGTGATCCCCGAGCATGACGATGCTGCTTTGGTTGCTCAACTTACCGCCCTTCACGGCAAGATTCCGGAGAGGTTTGGCGAATTCGGTGGCCAATACGTACCGGAGTCTCTCATGGACTGTTTGTCTCAGTTGGAGGAAGGCTTCAACGCAATCAAAGACGACCCGAAATTCTGGGAGGAGTATAGATCTTACTATCCCTGGATGGGACGACCGGGCCAGCTCCACTTGGCCGAGCGCCTGACCGAATATGCCGGCGGCGCGAACATCTGGTTGAAGAGAGAAGACTTGAACCATACCGGATCTCACAAGATCAACAACGCCCTAGGCCAACTTCTACTAGCGAGACGATTAGGTAAAAAGAAGATTATCGCCGAGACTGGTGCTGGCCAACACGGTGTAGCAACCGCTACAGTCTGCGCTAAGTTTGGTATGGAGTGTACAGTGTTTATGGGTGCCGTAAGTTGTTTTTCTCTCTTTTTTCTTCCTTTTGTATAACCAAGTTTCCCTTGCTAGGATCGGAATGGTGACTCACAAATACTATAGGAAGATGTTCGGCGTCAAGCACTCAACGTGTTCCGAATGCGGTTGCTGGGTGCCAAGGTTATCGCGGTCGAAGCTGGCAGCAAGACTCTCCGAGATGCCGTCAACGAGGCACTCCGCTACTGGGTCGTCCATCTAGACGACACTCATTATATCATCGGATCTGCTATTGGACCCCATCCCTTCCCCACCATCGTCAGAACCTTCCAGTCAGTCATTGGAAACGAGACTAAGGCACAGATGCAAGAGAAGCGAGGGAAGTTGCCTGATGCGGTCGTAGCTTGCGTCGGCGGAGGCAGCAACGCCGTCGGCATGTTCTATCCCTTTTCCAACGACCCTAGCGTCAAGTTATTAGGTGTCGAGGCTGGTGGAGACGGTATTGATACCTCGCGACACTCAGCTACTTTGACGGGAGGTACCAAGGGTGTGCTACATGGCGTAAGAACCTATGTTTTGCAAAACGAATTTGGACAGATTTCGGACACGCATTCCGTCTCTGCTGGACTCGATTACCCAGGTGTCGGACCCGAATTGTCGAACTGGAAAGACTCTCACCGGGCCAAGTTCATCGCGGCCACCGATGCTGAGGCCTTTATGGGTTTCAGACTTATGAGCCAGATGGAAGGTATCATCCCTGCGCTCGAGTCGGCGCACGGTATTTATGGCGCCATCGAATTGGCTAAGACGATGAAGAAGGACGAAGATGTTGTTATCTGCCTTAGTGGCAGAGGGGACAAGGACGTCCAGAGCGTCGCCGATGAGTTGCCTAAGTTAGGACCCCAGATCGGATGGGATTTACGTTTTTAAGAGTGATTATTATGCAGGCGCATGCATATCCTAAACATACATATACTTGGGCGAGGATAGTGACTTTCAAATCCGGAGTTAGGGCGAGGGATATCAAAATTAGAGAGAGAGCATGGTATATGATACATGGTATTGGGCTACATTTATGAATCTGTAACTAGATGGATTTTTCACAAGCTGATTTGCACGGTTCAATGCTACCTATGTTCCCTTCATCTAGAGATAGACAAATATAAGTCGGGTTCATGGCCCTGGCCCTGGCCTCTTCGCGCTCTCGTTCTCCCTTGGGTTTTCTTCTCTCATGAACTCGATCTCTTTGGTGGTTTCTTCGGCTTCGTCTCCTTTGGCTTTGACCCCTTCGCCCTCATTTTCTTGGCCTATGACGAACTCGTCCTCACGTTCTATCATCTCTTCAACCTCGCTCAGCACAGACTCAGACGTGAACCCCTCGGCGGCAAGTTCACTAGGAAGCTCGGTAGTTTTAACATCTTTCGGCGGAAGACCCATCGCGGCACGCTCCCGAGCAAAGCGCTCTTGTATAGCAGGCGTCTGGATAATCTTCCAGCGGAGAGCCCAACCTGCAGGGCCCAATTCCTTGATTCTCTGCGCCTTGGACCCTAAGAGGTACTCGTCGATACCGCCGAGACGGTCGATCGTCCGCAGAACGCGGGTTGTTAAACGGGTGCGGATGAAGGCGTTCAGGCTGGGCGACCAAAGACGCTTCGTATGTTTGTTCGGTAGCCAGGTAGTGCGCGACTTGTTGCCGTACTCCTCGGCTACGACATTGCCGAAGCGGATCTTTTGGCCTCCGAATAGACCTTGGTTCGCTTGCTTGTACGTCCGGAAGGGGCCATATGGGTAGTCGGGGACTTGATCCGGGGGTACGGATAGGTATGACGGTCGCTGGCGTGATAGAGATGGTGTTGAGCTAAGGGCACGGATATTGATTGTATTGTATATCGGCGTTTGGAAGGAGGAGGATGTCTGCGAGTGTGAGAGTGTGGATGTGAAGATGGTCGAGGGAAGACAGCATCGCGACGAGGCGGCTGGAATTTGAATTGGTGGCATATTGGTGAGTCTGAACGGATATGATGTTGGTTTTCCGGCGCCGTTTCTTGGGGTATTATAACGGTGTCATTGTCCGGAGAGAATCGAAATGATGAGATAAATTCGATTACTCGGAGCTCCAAGTTCGGTTCGAATTAAAGATTTCTTATCGTGCGATTATCAGATATCGGGGTCAGCGGGGTAGGAGTATAAATAACTAAATTCGTTAATGCGTTTCTTGCGTTAACCGGGTCCAGTGACGCTGCCCCACCTTGCGCGACCGGTACATATGTATGCACTTTGGTACGTATCTTCTTATCTCTAATCGCGGACATATTCACCGCCGATATATAAACAGGGGTGTAGCAATTTATAAGAATAGCTCCGATGATATTAAATTCAAGCTCGATCAACAATTGACGTCTGCCATTCAAGTTCCCAATCAGCAAATCTCTCACAATGTTACCTCCAATAGACGAGGCCGTACTAAAGAACAACCCCGACTTTGAACGCCTATATAAAACCGTGACCGGTTCTCTTCTTAATCCCGATGGATCGTCCAAAGGGAACGATCCAACAGCTAAGAAACGCGATGCTGTTCGTGATGTACGTCTATACTCAAATAT